AACCTCAATACTAATTAAACATTATATCTTTTTGAGACCAAATTAGCACTCAAAAGTAAACATTTAGCATTTTTAACCCTATTGTACAAGTAATTTCCCAGCCACCACAATTATCCCCAGAAGCATCCATACGGTACCTGCAGCTGACCATGACAGGAGGCTTGGAAAATGGCAAGATGGGGGGGACACTTATATTAGTGAGAGCGTTTGGAAGTGACATCCAGTGTTAATAATGACTCTCTATTAAATATGGGCGTGTTTGTTTGTTGTGCAATTATTGTGTGCTGACACAGGTGAAACGTCTGACAGGAGCGTGGCAACATAATCATTAAAGCTTTATAAACCATGCTCTAAAGAACAGGGCCGATGTCTTATATCATTCCTCCCTTTTCATCTCTTCTTTGCTACTTACTACATAATAATAATTATAATTAAAGTGGCGTTTTTTGCTGTTAGCAGAGCAGAGCAGGAATACATATAGGTCAAATAAAGGCTCTTCATGAATATCGTTTTCAAATTGTGACGTTGGCACATGAGGGCATGTCAAAAGTTAAATTCTGCATATAGGTGTATATATACATATATGTGTGGTGAACAATGATTGTATTTATTATTGTCTTTGATTCTCTGTGACCTAACTCTAGAGGATTTGGGATTGTGGGGAGGGAAGGGCAGGAATGGAGAGAAATTAAATAAACAAAAACTAGAAAAATGTGAATATAGTATATAGTATAAAGTAAGTATATTAAACACACAAAAATAATAACCATTCAGAACAGACTCACTGGAAATATAATGCCAATGTGACAAATTGATTTTTCACATGTGACACCATACTGGATTACTTAAACACAAGATAAGATGCATTGTGTTTTGTAGGTACAATACACCTTTAAGATGAACATATCCGTTAGTGTCCTACCTATTATGTCAATCACATACTTCAATACTGTAGCTAAGTAATTAGATAATTGTTCATTTTACCCCATTAGCAGTAACCGTAACGTCATCTCTATTTTTTTATAGATCAAGTTATGACCTGCCTGGCTCCTCTCCATTAATTAACCTGTTAATCCACAGCATTTAGAAGAAATGTATGACTGCCTGTTAAACTAATATGTAATAAAGGTGGAGTTGGGTGAGCCCAGTGCGTACATAAGATGCTTACTTTCCCACCACGTAACTATGTCTGTCACACGGTTTTGTCCTGTCATTGTGATTTCACAGCATGTGGACCGTGTCATGGTGAAAAAATTTTTTACAGTAACTGACATCAGTTGATTGCTGCAGGAAGAAATAATAACATATGGTGCCTTATTGAATAAACTGAACCGCAAACATCAATTGATCTTCATTTCCCTGTTGAAACACCATGTGGCTGCAGTTAAATAACAACCAATGGTAATAGTGAAGGGAGACATGGGAGACATGGAATCTAACTGGAATGTTTCCACATTATTATTGTTACTTTTGTTAAACATGGATTATAAACTCCAAACAAGTCATCCCATATCCTATTTGAGCAAGGCAGG